AATCAAAATAATTATTGAAGTCAATACTTGAGCAGTCTCGGAATAGTTGAATTTGTTGCCATTTGAGCGAAAGCTAAGAGATAGTAAATATTTGATATTGTTTCTTGGGCTTCTCGATTTTTTTTATTTTCCATAAAAACTTCTAATGCGAGAAGTAAAATAATAATTAGTTGCTGTCGAAAATGATGATCCATGGCAAAGTTGCTTGAGGGATCTCTTTGAATACTCTATTGATCGTAAATTTTCAAAGGCAGGTATAAAAAAAAGGTGGTTTGATGAAAAATTCATTTGTCTTTTACAAAGAAAAAATGGTTTATTACGTAATAAACTTTATTAATTTACACATTATTCATCGTAATGATAAATACGTTTAATTAATTTTAAATATTTTCCGCTAAGTAAAATTTATTCCCCGACATTTTTTGACTCATTGATTGAGGCGCTTGAGAGCGACCTATAACGAGGTCTGACTGCATCTTTATGCAAATAATACTTCATGAAGAAACAACGAGCATTTCTTTTATATTTGATAATGTACTATACACCAATTTTAAATTTATTATAGTTCTTTCGAATGATAATTCAATGCTTAATTCTCTGGAATATTAATTTGTAATACTTCAAATTCTTCTGCAGCAAACTTTGAACAGTTATCAATTTCATCATATGTAGATTCATTTCTAATTGGATCGTATGTATCATTGGAATAATTATAGCATTGACATTGATTGTCTTGATCGCGATTATCTTTCAAGGTAAGACCACCACCGCCAAAACACGGACCATATTTAGAATGACATAAAATTGCAGTTTCAGATTTCTTTACACGGCTTATAATAGATTTTTTAATAGAACCATTTTTAAATGAAAAAATGAAGCATTTACTGGATTCTTTAGTAAATCTTCTTGTACGTGGTTTATCCCATGCAATAGGGCTGTATCCTCCAAGAATTTCATCAGTACCTTTGACTTTTATGACAACAATAACATTTTCCTTTTTGTTACATAAATTCCAAAATGAGGTAGCAGTAAATCCATCTCTACTTCCACGAAGGAGTAAATCAAACTTATATGGATTGTTTTTTGTTGAATATGCTTTTTTATCCGATTTTTTATCAATCCATGAGGCAATTTTAGCAGCATGATCTTTACTAATAATAGATGAAAATTGTTCTTCTCTAGGTGGTAATTGTTTTGTTAAAACTGTACGAGGTGGAAGAATTTTTGAAGTTATTGAAACATCTGAAGAATTTAATTTTTTCCTTAGATCTTTCCTAAGATTCTTTTCAAGAATTTGATTGTATGGTAGCACTTTCTCAACAATGTCTTCCTTAGACATTTGAAAATAACGAATATGAGGCAAAAAATTTTGTAAAGTAGTCTTTAAAGCTTGAAAGTTTTCAGAAATATAATCATCAGGGTCGAATGGTAGACCAGGATTTTGGGCGATACCCCATTTGATAACATAGTCCCAAACTTTTCCTTCATCCATTTGTAAATCATCACGTTCTATAAGTGAAATCAAAGCTTTTTCTCGAATAGAGGTGAAGTTTTCAGAATCAAAAACTTTAATTGGATGTTTTACCATAATATCGTTGCACCATTTTTGTAAAATTTGAAGTTTATTATTATTTTGAAAACACTTTGGATAAATATCAGCAAAATGTAAAAGAAGCCAGTGAGATTCCTTTTCAATTAAATAAGTTTCAATGTATTTGATAAATTCCTCAAGAAGAAATTCACATGAAGCAAACATAAGCTCGACGATGAACGATGAATCAAAATTTTCTAATGATATTACACCTCCATAAATATACCTTTATAAGATAATACAGGAATTCAATTATTTAATTATTTAAAAATAAAAATTAACGCATATATCATATATAAATTGAAATTTTACCTAATAATAATTTCAAACTGTTGAATAGTTATATTTTTTAAAGTAATCTTTTTGATATTATTTTCATCTTTCTCAATGTTTACTAAACGTTCGTGAAAATACAAAGACCTTTGTCTCAAAATTGCAGAATGAGCATAAAAGGTTTTTGTGTTTTGAGAATTATTGACATCAATAATTATATTATAATCTTCTTTGTCATCAAGAAGTTTAAGGTAATCTGTTGAAAGCTTATTTAAAAGATTCGTTTCCATCTTAGGCTAAATGAATAAACATGGAATTTATTAAATGCTAATTTTTTGTAGACAGATTATATATAAATATACAGTACACATTCTGTAGACTTCTTATTGGTTGGTTTTTTTTTCGGAAACGTACGTACGTACGTCCTGTACGTAGAAAAAAACAATAATATTTACTATGCGAAAAATTTATAGGTTATTGAAACTAAAATAAAGTTTCCCGGAAAACACTAAAAGCATTAAAATAGAATTACTTTGTGAAAAAACGATAATTGTCCGGAGCGAAGAAAAAACATACCGTTCTTGATAAGGCCTTAAAAAGCGCCTATATTGGTATATGGGGATAAATCGGTATCGGTGTTGGGGTTCTTTTTTTATTTTTATCCTAGCAGGGTCAATACGCCGATTATCATGTACTATAGTACGTACGTACGTACTAAGTGGGGATCGTCGATCAGATTAACAATGTCATGTTTTGAAGTTGTTCGTTTCCACGATAGTGATTGGTTGATTGTTCGAGGTGTAGAAAGGACCATCACGTTCTCTATGCAATGTTAGGTGGCTCGAATCAATAAATTCATTTCACATGTTGACGTTAACAAGGCATTATCTGTTATGTACTGTACGTACGCACGTACTGTACATAACCTGAGTTTAACAGTCTTGCTATAAAGGTATTACCTAAAGTAGTATAGTATGAGGTGCGAATGTAGTTGAGTAGGATTATAAAAATTAAAAAAACGTATAACGTATATATGCGTATATTAGAAATGCGTCGGACATACTCACTTGTTGGATATACTAATTTGTATAAATAATGATAAGTTATATTATTATTTGTTCAAAGCTACTAAATCATTTGATTATTGTATACCACGTGTATATGCAGATATTTATTAAAAATAATTACATATTTAAAACGTATATATTTATTAAATTCATTCGCAAATGCTGTGTATATATTAATTTAATGCAAATACAATATCGATATGCAAATGCAATATTTTTAGACTATTCAAGTTTTATTATTCTTGTTCAAGTCCATGTTCACGCTCTTTAATTGTATTAGCAATCCACAATTCTCTTAATTTTTCCTTTCTTTTTTCAATTAAAAGCATACGTTCTTCATATTCTAACTTTTCCATTGGCATCATGAATAATTCATTGTTACTTTTTGTATTTGAAGAAAGATTTGTATCCAAATTGCTTTCAATTGTTCTTTGTGATTTTTTAGAAGTTTGTACAGAGCGTTTTTTTGTTGAAGTATTGGTTTTTGATCGTTTGTTAGCTGTAAATTAAATTAATTTATATTGTAAAATTTAAATAAAAACTTTTATTTATTAAACTAATTAAATAATTTACTTACTGCTCCGTTTAATAGCTGAAATTTTTCGCTTGATACCGTTTTTATCATGTCCACTAAGATCAATATTATAGTTTTTTTACTTCAATTCTCTTGAAATATCGCATATCTAACTTCTGACCTCTAAAAAATTTGGAATTTTTTTTAAAAACTAAATTTTCTTTATTATTTACTAAATAATATATAATCGTATATCATAATATCATCAAAGTTTTTAATAATATAAAATAAAAAATAATAGTAATAACCTGAATATTGCCGTCATTAGTTTAAGTTGCTTTCCTTCATGATTACTTAATGGATTGGATTTACTATTTTGTACTAAAAATAGTACATTTTATAAAATTCATAGAAGCATCAAAACTTATTAA